AGCAGAAGCAGAAGCAGCAGCAGCAGCAGCACCGGCAGCAGCACCACCACCAGCAGCAGCAGCAGCAGCAGGAGGTGTTCTTACATGTTATCTCCTCTTAGAAGGTAAAGACCCAGCGGTACTATCTCCACGGGGGCGTCTTCATGCACAACCTTTTCTGTGCATTTGTTTAATACGATATTTGTTGATTGATCGAAGGCAGCCAGAGTACCCATAAACAAACGCCCATCAAACGTCAACACGCACACCCGCTCTGCAGCAACAGCAACAGCAGCAGCAGCAGCAGCAGCAGCAGCATGAAGCAGCAGTAGTGCAACGCAGCAGCAGAAATAAAACGCAGCAGCAGGCAGCAAACATCAGCAGCAAACAAAAAAGAAAAACAGCTTTCTTCTGAAGGCTACATACACTACACGACCAGAAAAAATTAATAAATAGGAAAATATAATATTTAATTTGTATGAAACACAAGGTTTACATGCAGACGATAGCTGGGGTGTACGTACGCTCAAGCAGCGACTGCAGGCCTGACGCCATTATATTGAACTTTCTGAAACCTCTCTTTGTTGTGCAGTTTATACGGGGGTATAAACTTTATATATTTATTCTCTGCTGAAAAAGTTTATTGAAAAAGAAATAAATACGTCTTTCCGGGTTTGTATGAAGGCCCAAGAGCACCAGAAACACCTTCAGTTCAACTTTCTGGGGTGTACGTACACCTTCGGCAGCAGCTGATGAAACCAGAAACAGAAAAAGAAGAAACTTCGGGGAAATTTCGAGGAATTTTGAGCAAAAAGAATGCAAAAGAATATTAAAGAGTTGATGAAGACTTTGCTGACAAACAGCTTTCGAAAAGACCACAGAAAACACTTGAAATCACTCCGAAAAAAAAAAGTGGAATACTCGCGATCTCCCCCTTTCCCGAGGCACAACGAAACCCAAATTCCTCTTAATACAATAAAAACAACAATTAAAATTCATAAAAGTATTTTTTTTTTGAGAAAAAGAGAGGTTTCCGCCTGTATTCCAACGATCATGCATGCAGCTGCATGCAGCCACGCCGACGGCCGACGGCTGCTCAGCTCAAGTACAACAACTCCTTCAGAACAACATACTAAAACTTCTCCAGAATTTATTAATTTATTTTAAATATTAAATTAACAGGTATGAATTCCTCAACATTATTCATTCTCTTTGACTAACCTGAAACGCTAGCAGCGCCGATGACACTGCAGCGAATGCCCAGCCCCGGCGGTATTGTACACCTATGAAACCACTCATACTTGAGGGTTTAGGGTTTAGGGTTTAGGGTTTTTAAGAAGAGCCAACGAAGACACTTGTCTGCTGGGCGCCTCCGGCTTAAACTTACTCAACACCTGCAGCATCGGCATAGCAGGCACAGCCAGCAGCAGCAGCAGCAGCAGCAGCAGCAGCAGCAGGATGGGGCCCCCCCTCATCATCCCCGAGGATTTTGCTGCTGCGCAGCTGCCGCTGTTGGCTGAGCTGCTGCAGATGTCTGTCGATGAGGTATCTCCTGAGCTTCTGCAGCACATGTGGGACATTCTGGTTGAGGGAAACCCGCAGCAGCAACGGCAGCAGCAGCAGCAGCAGCAGCAGCAGCGGGGCCTTTCAGCAGCAGACCGTGAAGCTGTTCAGAACCTCCGCGACTTTGTTGAGGCCATCGTAGAACCTCTCCATACACCCAGCAGCTACCGCATGGCCCAGCCCCTAATCCAGCGTTTTGTTGATGCTTTTGTATCGCGCGTATACAACCCAAACAGCAGCAGCAGCAGCAGCAGCAGCAGCAGCAGCAGTAGCAGCAGCAGAGCAGTGCCAGCGAAAGAGCCCGCAGCAACTTTGCCTTCAAACACTGGCTCTACACACACAGCGGCAGCAGGTCCATTGGACAACAGTGCTGCTGCTGCTCGTGCTGCAGATACTGCTGCTGCTGCTGCTGCTCCTGCTGTTGCAGTTGCTGCTGCTTCAGCATCTGCTGCTGCAGCTCCACATAAAGAAGATGCTTGCAGCAGAAGCCGAAGGGACTCTCCTCAGCGTGCAGCTGCTGCTGCTGCTCCTGCAGCAGCAGCAAACCGATCGGCAGCAACACAGGAAGGCAGAAGCAGCAGCAGCAGCAGCAGCAGCAGCAGCAGTGGCAGCAGAAGCAGCAACAGCAGCACGGGGACGACGAATCAGCAACGCAGCCAGAGCCACAAATCGGGCGTGGAACAGCCTCAGCAGCAGCAGCAGCAGCAGCAGCAGCAACAGCAACAACAACTGACGAGACAACAGCAGCAACAACAAAAGAGTGCTAGTGAGCCACTGCATAAGAGCAGCCTCCAGAAGCAGCAAGCACCCAAGCAACAGCAGCAAAGGGCGCAGCAGCAGCAGCAGCAGCAGCAGCGGCAGCAGCAGCAGCAGCCGCAGCAGCAGCATGCGCAGCCGCCTACCCCAACACAACCGCAACAGCAGCCGCAGCAACCACGGCATGAACGGCAGCAGCAACCTCAGAAACAGCAGCAACAGCAGCAGCAGCGGCAGCAACAGCGTCGACAGCAGCAGCAGCAACAACAGCAGCAGCAGCAGCAGCGGCATGAGGATGCAGCAGCAGCAGAGGAAGTTGAATGGCCTGAGCCACCCCCAGTAACCCGCAGAGTACCGCGGAGGCAGCAGCAAGTGCTGCAGCACTTCGGCATAGCTGCGGTCCCTGCATCCAGCAGCAGCAGCAGCAGCAGCAGCAGCAGCAGTGGTCGTACGCAGGGCAAAAAGGAGGGGGGACATGGAAGGAGAGCAGCGAAAGCAGCAGCAGCAGCAGCAGCAGCAGCAGCACCAACTGTACATTGTTTTTGTCTCGGTATAGAGCATGGCGCCTACGGCGTTTGTCTCAGCTGTGGTTTAGTTCGTTGCCGCTATGGCCTCAGCAGCAGCAACAGCAGCAGCAGCAACAGCAGCAGCAGCAGCAGCAGCAGCAGCAGCAGCAGCCCTGAGGAGGTTCGCTGCTGGTTCTGCGCCAATGAGGTCTTCCCCAGCGCCGCGCTGCCGTCTCTCACCGCTTCTCTAGAAGCCAGGTTAAAAGAAAACAAGCAGCAGCTAGTGC